GGGCCACCTTCCAGAGGCTTCCACCCCAGCCGAAAGGGGTTAAGGATGAGTCGAGACGGGAAGCCAGCATTTAGGGATTAAATGTCATCATTTTGGCGTTGGAAAGTTGTTTACCTTGCTCTCTCCGTGTCTCCATGCTGGCAGGCGGCCAGCTCACATGTGATAGTCTTCCCTGTACTGCTGCATCATTAACCGAGTGGCGGAGCCGGCTCCCCATTGGCCGGGGAGGGCTCAGGGCCCGCAGGCGCCCTCCCATTGGCGGAGAAGGTGATGGCAGGTGAAAAGCCCTCCCGGATTGGCCGAGGGCTGGGTGTCAAACCTCCACGCTGATTTGCACTTGCTTCAAAGTGCCGGCAGCTCCCTGCCTGCTCCCTGCCTGTTCCCTATTCCCTATTCCCTGCCTGCTCCCTGCCCATTCCCTATTCCCATTCCCTATTCCCTGCTTATTCCCTGCCTCTTCCCTATTCCCTGCCTGCTCCCTGCCTATTCCCTATTCCCTGCCTGCTCCCTGTCCATTCCCTATTCCCTGCCTGCTCCTTGCCCGCTCCCTGCCTATTCCTTGCCCATTCCCTATTCCCTGCCTGCTCCCTGCCCGTTCTCTGCCCGCTCCCTGCCTATTCCCTATTCCCTGCCTGCTCCCTGCCTCTTCCCTACCTATTCCCTATTCCCTGCCTACTCCCTGCCTGCTCCATTCCTATTCCCTGCCTCTTCCCTGCCTGCTCCTTGCCTATTCCTTGCCCCTTCCCTGCCTGTTCTCTGCCAGCTCCCTGCCCTTTCTCTGCCTGTTCCTGGCCCCTTCCCTGCCCGTTCTCTGCCTCTTCCCTGCCTCCATCCTGCCTATTTCCTGCCCGTTCCCTGCCTGGTCTCTGCCTATTCCCTGCCCACTCTCTGCCTTCTCCTTGCCCGCTGCCTGTTCCCTGCCTTCTCCTTGCCTATTCCCTGCCCATTCCTTGCCCTCTCCCTGCCCGTTCCCTACCTTCTCCCTGCCTGCTGCCTGCCTATCCTCTGCCTTCTCCCTGCCCTTTCCCTGCTTATCCTCTGCCTTCTCCCTGCCCGTTCTCTGCCTCCTCCCTGCCCATCCTGCTCCCTGCAGCAGACAGGACAGTGGTATTTCCCCACCGGGTTCGGCGGGTGCTGGATCCCGCACCCCGGGGAGGTTTTGTCTCGCCCTGCCGTCCTGAGGATGACGTGTCAGAGCTGCAAACCACGGGGAAGGGGAAAGTCATGGGGTTTGGGGCTTTTCTCCTCACTCGCTTGCTTTCCTCCTTCTCTCTCATAAGGCGGTTGACTGTAAACTGCTCGGGGCAGGGATTGCACCTGGAAATTATGCCGTGGGAATAACTGAAGAGGTGAAAAAGACTCTTGCCCAAACTCGGCTTTTGTTTGCTTAAGTTTGAGTTTGCCACAGGCTCGGTGAGGGCTGAAGACAGCCTGAGGGACAGGGCTGGAAAGGTTTGCAAAAGAAATAACACTGTTAGAAAGCAGGGACTGAAGAAGGATTGGGGAAGGATGAACGGGAGACCGAGGGCAGAGAGCAGCTCCAGAGAGAGGATAAGGACATGAAGGGGAGAACATTTTTCTCTCTTAACCATTTACTATACTATTTTTTCCACCTCTCTTCTTAAAGCGACCAGCAATGAAGATGGCTACTCTGCCTGGGAAGTGCTGAGGACACAACCAGCTTTGAGCTTGGTCCTTCTGGCCGAGGAAGTCTCCCGATTTATGCAGTGGAGCGGTAACTTTGCTTTCTCGTACAAGCAGGGAACATTATTCCATAGCCTTTCATCCTAACGAGGCTTAAACTAAGTTTTAAGGATACGGCAGCATAAGCATTTAATCTATATTACTCACTGGCTGACATCTCCGGCGTCAGGTCCGGTTGTTTAGCAACAACCACTGGGCTCAGACGTTCTGCGTCCGCCGCATCCAGCGCCTCGGCAGCAGCCTGGCCCCTGATGGGCAGCCTGAGAGAGAGAGGGAGAGAGAGAGAAGGGCTAGATTTCCAGTCGTACACCCACCCCCACCGAATTTTGGTGGTTGGGTTACAAAAGGCCGTACCGCGCTGCGGTTTTTCCCCCCGGCTCCGTTCCGTTGCGCAGTGCCGTAGAGGGGAGGATGCCATTTCCAACGGCAGTGCGGTGGCAGGGACAGGGGAAGGAAACAGAAAAACAGGCATATAGGTGCCACTCCCCACTTTTTTTTTCCCCCCTCTCTTTCCCATCTCCACCTTTCTTGCCTCCCCTTCCTTTTCTGCCAGATTCCGTAGGGAATTTCAGCCTCTTACTGCAGTCGTCACAACCCCTCCTGACTCACTGAGCCTTCGCTGGCTGGAGCTGGCTCCCTTGGAGCATCCTTGCCTCCTGCAGCGCCAGTTCCGCAGAGCAGGGGAACAACAGGAATAGCAGCAACGACGGTGGTCCCTGCAGCAAGATGGACAGGCATAAATACACACACACACACTCACACACATATACAACAGCCCAAGGCAGCCATGGAGGTAACGCTGTACGGCCAGGAGCTGGGCTCAGAAACGATGTGTGGTTGCGTGGAAGTGGGGTGGGTTGAGTCTGTTTAACCGAGCGCTGCCGGAGCGGAAAAACCCTTTGCCTTTTCCCCCGTCGCAGTTGTGGGGCGGAGGACCCCATGAATCTGCAAAATTAGTGCTTCCTAATGGTGTTTCTCGGTCCTTTGGAAGGAGGTGCAACTGGCCACTGGTTATAGTTGCTTTGTGAGTGTCTGTGTTCAGCCTAGGGATGCCTTTGGTTTTATTCTTTCGCTACCGTCGTTTTGCCGCAGCGATAGTTTAATCGCGACTAAACGCAGGGAGGGGAAGGGGACAGAGATAAAAGGGGAGTTATTTCAAATGTTAAACTTCAGCTGTAAATCTCCTTACTCAGAAACTGAGGTTGCTGGCAGCAGGTAAAGCTGTGGGACTGGGAGGAAACCAGGCTAAGAAGGGGACAGGGCGTATTTCTGTAGGTTTTTTGCGCATAGGGCTGGTATGGATACTGTATGGGAGCTCTACGTGGGTAACTGGTCCATAATGGTTTCCCTGCGCATTGGCGCAAAAAGGACTGGGGAAAGCTGTGATTTCTTCCTCCCTCCGACACTGGTGTGTGTGTGATAATTGTGTAAGCTGATTCATTTTTCCGTATCCTGGTTTCCTGCCTTTGTCAAGGGGGGTTTGTGACATCCCTCAGCCTCGGTGCGGCATTATGACGCAGTGTTCGTTAATGCGCCGGGGTCCGTTGGCAAAATACGTGCCATTTTCTGGGGAGTTTTGACTGTTCGAGGACGGCAAAATTTGGTAAAGAAAGTTAAAGGATTGCAAATGCTCACGACATAGAATGTAAAAAGCGTTACCGTCTGATTCTCCTTCGCTGTGGAAGGCTCTGAGGGACGAGACAGCCATGATCTCCTCCTGCACTTGTTTTGCTGATGGTCATGTTACATCTGTGACGCAGCCCGATTTTGCTCTTGGTTCCTCTCCTGCACTCGATGGAGTTGAGCTGATGAGGGCACAAGCCTGAATAGGGTTAGAAACATTAATTTAATATCAGCGCTAAAGGTCGCGACCATCCCTGAAGTGGCAGGAATATCAGCACCCACCTATTTTCGCCACCCACAAAGGAAGGAGCTGGAACGAACACAGCAGCACCCCAAGCCATTTTGTTGCTCACAGAGTAGACTCTGAGCCTGCAGCGCTGCTGCTGTTCATTTCCATGTCACACAAACACAGCGCTGGGCTCTGTGTCAGGAGCTTTACTGATGCTGTGAGAAGCTTAAAGCCTACAAGCAAACGCTTTGCTTTTCTTATTTGGGAAAATTCATTAAAATGTCCCAATGCCAAATATTCTACCCTCACTCCTCTTAACAAATCACTTCCAGACCTGGCCAGAAAATACAATGCTGCCACGTATTATTTTTCTAAAACTTGTCTACGGTGTTTTCTTACAGTTTAATACGGGTGTGGTTGGGGAGAAGGGTAAGATTTTAGTCAGTTAAGTATCTGTATCGCTGATGCTAATGGGCAGAGATGCAGGCAAGAGAGATGAGTTCCCATATCTTGTATCTGCATCCCGGTGTAGGTACTCCCAAGCCTGGGTTGCGAAGATGCTTTTGTTCTGGAACGAGAAGGGAATGCTCTATTCTGTTCTCATTCACCCAAAAGTCTTGGTGCAAAGGCAGCAGACACGGCCAAGGTGGGAACCTCACAAAATGGTTTCACCAGCTCCGAGCTGCCGGTGCCGTTTCTGCTGGCAGGGCTCTGGGAGCTGTACCATGGGCTGTCGCTGCAAGGTCATTCCCCTGACTCATTCTCAGCCACCAGTTGGTTCAGGAACTCCCAATCTGCATTTCTTGCGAGACTGGCAGTGCTCGAGTCCACAACCTGGAGGGCAGGCTCCAAAACTAATGTTACTGCAGCAGCAGGCCACGAGTCTGAAAGCATAGATCCATAAAAATTCTGCACCTCGGAAGTGTCTTAGAATCCCCATCTATAATTTGTTTCTTGAGCTAAATAGAAAAACTTAGCACTAGTTCCCTCATCCCCTTTCCCCCCAAGACCTCCTCTGACTGCTGGGAATCAGCTCTAGTATGTATTTAAGGACTAGGCATCAACTTACATTGTGTTCCAGGGAAAAGAAGTGTCTGTGTATATTTGCATTTCTGGTCCTGCAGTCTTTACCAGGCAGACTCCGCCGGCTGCTCCGAGCTCACCGGTGTCTGTCACGCCAGTGTTGTCTCTCGTGTGCTTTTAGTTTCAGGCAGCACCTCAGCTCAATAGCTCTTCTCCCCTCCCAGGTTTCCAGATTTTCCTCTGGTGGTCCTATTTCTCCACGTCACCAGTATTTCCAGTTGACTCAGGGCAACCAACCATGGATACGTCAGGGCTGGCTCTTGTCTTCCCAGCTTCACAGGTGGCAGTGGAGTGGTTAATGCCGCGAGGATCTTGAGCTAAGCAGCCAAGTTTGTCCCCATCTTTGCAATAACAAAGCTCAATTTTGGGGAACGTTATCCTTTTGAACAGAGAGGAACAGGGGGGCCAGTGCAGACGAAGCATGGACGCAGGCAGACCCTTCCAGCTCCCAGTTTTGCTAGCCCACCTCCCTAAGCCTCCAGCCCCGAGCCACCTCCTGCCCGGGGAGGTGCTTAAAGTCAGCCTTAGCCTTCAGCATCATTATTCTCTACTTTTCAAAAGGGAAGGAACCTGGCTGCTAATCCTGATGCCAGTGACGACTCTTCGCCTACAGGGAGGCATATGTGAGAGCTTGTCTGCTAAAAACTGAGCCAACACAGTGTGATTCAGCCCTTAAGCTTTCCAAGGAAGAGCTATTTCTGAGCTAGCCCACCTCCCTAAGCCTCCAGCCCTGAGCCACCTCCTGCCCGGGGAGGTGTTTAAAGTCAGCCTTAGCCTTCAGCATCATTATTCTCTACTTTTCAAAAGGGAAGGAACCTGGCTGCTAATCCTGATGCCAGTGACGACTCTTCGCCTACAGGGAGGCATATGTGAGAGCTTGTCTGCTAAAAACTGAGCCAACACAGTGTGATTCAGCCCTTAAGCTTTCCAAGGAAGAGCTATTTCTGAGTTAAGCACATCTCCTCAGCTCCCCACACAAACACTCTTTATCCAGTACAAATGGTGCATAGTAGGTGTCCAACTGCAGCCACTGGGTTTGTATTTGGATATACAGCTCAACTGCTTCTTAAACATTGACCATGGCTCTCAAACACGTGGTGGAGTTTCAGTGACAGACAGAAGGATGGAACCAAACAGCTCACGTGCTCAGGGGACTCAGCTGGGAATTCGGTCGATGCTTTTTTCCAGCTTTTTTTGCCAGGTTCTTCTACTTCGGACAGTCTTAAGACACAGCAGGGGTCTGAAGGCACGTTTTCAGATGGTTATACTTCAGTAAACATCTGGCAGTATTTGTTTCCTGATGCTCTTCACTGGCACAGGACATTCTTTTGTCTCTTGAAAGACACAAAGAAAAAACATGACTTCCCTTGACATTACCTAAAGTAGGTGGAACGGCAGCGTTGGGGGAACACCATGTTCCTGAACTGACTACACAAATCACAACAATCATCTCCCTGCGACTGCTTTCAAGACCTGCAATCAATACTTTATATTCTGAGGTGACGCTCAGGTACAGAAGTTAGGAATAGAAGATTGCTTTTCTGGTTTCAGCTACTTCAGTGGATGGTATCTTTTAGTGGAGCTACCTTTGTAACGTGCTGTTCAGTCAGGCTACATTTGATGAGTTTTCAGGGCTGCACCTTCCTTCTGCTCTTACATGACCCAGGTCATGGAAGTGCGATGCTTTTCTTCCCCTGGGTAAGTTTGCCCGGTTTCACCTCCTCGTGCCTCGTGAAATCTGAAATCCTCAACAGGATTCAGTGGTTCAGTAGTTTCTGTGCCCTCCAAACGGGCTGTGGTGAAAGCAAAGGTGGAAGAAAACTGTCTGACTCCAGGTGAGTCAAAGCAATTTCAGATGAGCAGAGGAGAAGCAGAAGATTCGAAACTTTAGCCCTAGTATCTAGCACTCCCAGAATGGTAACCATGCTAAAACCAATCCCTTCAGAATAGTTTTAAGGCAAGCAAATAGCAAATAAGTGTTATATTTTACTTAGCAGTCTGCAACAAGGTTCTGGGTTTTAAAAACCAGGTCTTGTGAATAAATCCTAACTCTTTTAGTGATGTTGCGCTGTTACGAAAGGTCCCTTCCAACCCAGATGATTCTGAGGCTCTACCTCCACATTTCTCCAAAAGATCTGTAATTTGCAAATTAAAGGTCTTTTGTACTTTTTTTAAGCCTCCTTTGTTAGACCCAAGCACCACAGAAAATGTGGATCACTGTGGCAGAACCATAAAGAAGGCTGGTATGGCCCATCGCAGCCCCCGTGGGCCTGGGTCAATGCTCGTGTTGAACTATCTTGCCCTCAAAATGAAGTTTCCTGTATCCAAACCACCAATATCTGTTTCTCAGCTCTCTCAAAACTCAGTCAAAGCAGCAAGAATTAACCACACACCAGAGTGCCTTCAGGGAGGCCACCGTGCAGAGAGAAAAGGCCAAGATGTGCCTCTCAGACCTCATCACAAGCCAAATTTCGGGCATCGCGGACACGATCCATCACCTGCCCGAAATTATCTGGAAGAGCTGCTTTTCCCCACATCAAATGAAGGAGCAAACAAAAACCCCAGCCTTCCCCTCAGCCCCAAACCCTTGAACAATTGCACCATTTAAAAAAAAAAATGGGTTAGAATGACAGGCAGGTTGTTGACAGTTCAGCACAGTTAGAGAAATGCTAGTGAGCGCTCTGACAGATCACCCTTAATAGGAATGGTAATTAGTGACTCAGAATGCCGCTCGTCCCAGTGCTCAAACACAGCTAAATGGGACAAAAAGCTCTTGGGGCTTTTACCCCCTGGATGCCACAGGCTGGTGTTCAGCCACCTTGGGGTTTTGGGGCAGGAGGGGACAGACAACAGAAGGTTTGCAGACCCAGAGTGCCTGGCTTTTGACTATTTATACTGCAATAGTAGGACTAATAATGGAATAGACTACGTTCTCCAGTGCCTGGCTTTTAACTTCACTATTTATATTGCAATAGTAGGACTAATAATGGAATAGACTATGTTTTCTCAGGACTGCAATCTGGAGGGTTTATTCTGATCCTAATCAAGGAAAAGAAAAATAATGTCCATTATGCTTTTCACTGAATTTTTCACTGAATTTTCACTGAATTTCTAGAGTTGGAAGGGACCATAGAGATCATCTAGTCCAACTCCCCTGCTGAAGCAGGATTGCCTAGAGCTGGTCAGAGCATGTTACTCAGGAGCATCCAGGCGGGTTTTGAAAATCTCCAAAGAAGGGGACTCCACACCCTCCCTGGGCAGCCTGTTCCAGGGCTCTGTCACCCTCACCGTGAAGAAGTTTCTCCTCATATTTGAGTGGAACCTCTTCTGTTCCAACTTGTGCCCGTTGCCCCTCGTCCTCTCACTGGGAACCACTGAAAAGAGTCTGGCTCCCTCCTCCTTCAACCCTCCCTTGAGATACTTGTAGGCGTTGATAAGGTCTCCCTTTAAACTCAAGGAGGGAAGTCCATGTTCTTGCTGCCCGTAATGGCAGTAGCATCTCCAGAACCATCTTCTAGTCACAGTCACCAACTCCACGAAGTGATGCAGCATCTCCCCAGCCTTTACCCAGCCCGGGTCAGTGCTGCTGCCGCTGCCACAGAACGTCCTACACCCCCAGGAGCTCAGCTGGCAAGTTGGGGCACATTTGTCCATACCTGACCCACGCAGCACCACACGGTAACAGAGCTGCACAACAAACAGATGCAGTTACACGCTCCCCCGGGCTGAGGAAGCTTCTTTTTTTAATTTTTTTTTTTTTTTTTTTTTGAAACCTTAGAAGTTCACTCATTTCAATTCCCCTGGCAGGTCACCACTCGCACTGTCACACCCCTCTGTCCTGCACCTGGCCCTGCTCTGACTCACTCCCCGATGCTGAGGATGATGCATCGAGCTCGGATTTTCTGCATGTCAAAGGGGAAGAGTTTCTCCAGGGGAGACCAGAGCCTGACAAACCCGGAGTTCAACTCCGTGATTGGAAAATGGAGGAAAAAAAATTTCTGCCGCGCACAGGATCGTGCAGAGATGGGTTTTGCTTACTATGGAAGCCCCAGAAATGCCTTAATTTATAAGCTGTAGGCTGTGGAAAAATCAGGTCTGTGACATCCAGGCTTGCCTTGTTCCTGCAGACTAGATTAAAGGTCTCAGGCTAGGGAGGACGTTCCCTTTCATGGGGGAGGCAGGGATTTCTTCCCTTTTTGCCTTTGTCGCCTGTGCAAGGTATAAAGCAGAGTGAAGTCCGTGAAAGGCTTTGAGATGTTCCTCTGAAAGAAGCTACAGAACAGAACTGCTACTGAAACAGGTCTGGAAAAGGAGGAAAAAAAACCCAGAATAATAATATTGTACTTTTTCTGCTATTATTTAGGGAAAACTCCAGAACGTTTAGACAAAGCCAACTACAGCTGATGGCATTTTCCTGTCTCCCCACACACCTGTGTGTGTCCATAAGCACACACTCAACACCCAGCAAATGCTTGGGACAAGCACTGGTTTCTTTTTCTGCGTGTGTGCACAGGAATAGCTGAGTGCTGTGTGTCACAGAGTCTTGAGCTGCTCTCTTTTCTCTCCTCCCCTCTGCCTGCCCAAGCACGCCATTAGGTTTGGAAAGAACTGTCCCAGATACATCCTTCGTAAAAGCCCTACCTGAGTTTGCAAGAAGGGGCTGCTTGGAGGGAAGGGAGCTCGTTAAGGCACAGGACAATCTTTAGGTTGCCTGGACGAGGGGCAGCAGCATCTGAATGATGCTGAAGTGAAACCTGGTTTTATCAAATTATACATCATGAACGAGCCATTGGTCTTTAATTGCTGCATGGTATTTCTGGGAAGGTTATTTGGGGAGGGGAAGGGAAGGCACACGTAGATGTTGAGACCCAGTTCAGACTCTGGAAGTCTCCTGCCTGTAGAGCAGCTCTCATTTTAGCAGCACAAACAGAAGTGACATTTCCACCAACTGTTTTTGAAAACCCTAATAAAGATTTCATTTTACTGTTCAGGCACATACTTAATACTGAGAAGAAAAACAAGACAAGAAAAAAAAAGACAAAGCAACCCTCACTTTGAGCCTGTTTCTGAAAGATGCTGCTGCTGTACTTCATCTGTGCTGCAACGGACCTCTCGGTCCAGCTTTTCAGTAGTAAATCTTGTGCTGATAATACAGGGTGCCTGAGGAATAACTGTGCCAGCAAGACAGGCACTGGGGAGGGAACCTGCTTTCCACTTGTCTTTCACCCTGTTGCCCCAGATAATGGATTTAGAAACGACAGCAAATATCCAGACACAGTAATCTAGCGCAGTGCTTTCCCCTTCCTCCACCCCTCTTTCTTGGAAGGACACGCTCTTTTTCTCTGAGCTTTTCCTCTGCTGCCTGAGGCTGCACATTCACATGTAGGCACCCAAGCAAGATTCTTGGGTCTGGTTAGAAAACTAAAGCAAAGAGTTGCCAAAAACCCAGGGCATCCATAACTGAAACTCCCAACTCCATTTCTGCCGCACTTTATTCCATTTTACACCAGCTCCTGCACCAGCACAGCTGAGCCACAGTGGCCAGGGGTTGAGAGTCACCAAATTATATGTGTGTGTAGTCATTCACTGGCTCCAAGAGCCCCATCTGTCCCTGCTGTACAGGGGGACACACTGCAGGTAACCCCCACAGGGCTGCCCAGAGCCATCCCATTGCCAATAACCATCAGCCACTCGTCTGTGCTCTCTCCTACTTCCTCCACAACTTTCGTTGAACCATTTGCAGTTCAGATTTGCAAACACTCCCCTTCTAGCTTTCACTCTGACCCACACTCAAAGTAGTTTCCATGCAATTTATTTTTATTGTCCCACATCAGGACGGTCACATTTCCTCTCCCTGTCACAAAAAAAAAGCTCCTGACCCCTCCTGTCCTCTCTGATGATGCCGAGATCAGGAAGCGATGAAAAGCCAGAACACTCTGTGTCCTGGGCAGAGTGAGGGTTACAGCTTGTTCCATCTGCAATGGCATGACAAAAGTGTTTCTGCACAACACAAACTTCCCCCCCACCCCAGCAGTAGCACTCTCTGCACTGCAAAGAACTCAGACCCTTCTCACTCCTCCTGGTAAGAGCTTCGGTGTTATCGCACAAGGAAATCAGTCACTGCCAGAGCGGTGGGGTTCTCCATCACGTATCTCATTTCTCCTACAGCAGCCTCAACAATTCACAAGATACCCCAAAAACCCCACGTGTCAATAAAGTAACTAACCTGAAGTTAACTCTCTTACTTTCTCATAAAATTAAATAGATGACTTTTTCTCTAGGTACGGTGGAGATGAAGGATTTTCTCTCTCAGCCCGCAGCCCTGCACCGGATGTGTCTTCCTCTGGAAGCTGGTTTCACATGGTGGCTTAGATTTTCCCACTTTGTATCTAGCACCATTTGAAATCAGTGTTCTAGGAGCAAGAATTACAGCGTGGGAGGAGACCAAGCAGCTGCTAACTCCACCGGCGGCCTCTACTCCTTAAACCAGCACTTTTCCCAATGGTTATGTCCTTGCCAGCCATCCGCTTTGTAACATCATCTGATTTCTAGACACTTCTACAACCACTGTATACACCCTCTCAAGCCAGGGCCACGACAGGAACAGCTTCCTTCAAATGTATTTCTACTTAATAAACAATGGATATTGAGCTCAAGTTGTCCAGAGTAAAGTGATCCAAAAGTTGCATGAAACCCAGTGCATCCGGACAGGCAGAGTACGTTTCCGTTATTATACGATCACTAGGGCCCTAACGTTTAATTTATTAACTTAGGGCCAACGTAGCTCCACTCAGTGCTTGGGGACTCCATCACCATGGAATTATCATCATTTGCTCTGCAAACCCAGAAATTCCCTCCACCAGTTTGATCTCAGCAGTTAAAACACAACAGTGCCTTCAGCAATCACGATGTCGTCACCCTGGTGCACACAGAAACCCCTCCTTTTGCTAGAATTATATTTTTTTTAAGTTTATTGCTGGTAACTTCTAGTAACGTTTCAGACAACTTCTATACCCTTGCATCCAAACCCGCTAAAGTGAAGCTATAAACTATTTTTGCTTGACCTCACTGTTGTCCAACATGTTATTATACCCAGACAAGCCGATCGCTGTGCGGATGGAGCGTTTGATCAGAGCACTCTAAAGAAATGCGTAGCTGTCATCTCCAAGAGGATTCTTCTCTGAGCCAGGAAAATGTCTCTTACACAGGCTGACCGATTTCTCTTGGTGTTCAGAGTCTCAGTTTTTGTCTAGCACCATTTGAAATCGGTTATGATGTAGGGGGAAAAGCAACAATAATGGAAAACTTCATTCCCCCGCCCCCCCAAAGTCCTTTTAAATAAAAAAACCATCCAAAGCAGGCTCTTGCTTCCCAAACACCTGCTTTGCTGTTCTCTGACCTGCCGTTACACCGACAGCCCGAGCATCCTGCACTAAAGGAGGACACTCAGCACCACGCTCAACTAGGAGGGATGCTTCATGAGAAAAGGAAGCATCTGCTCAAACTCCTCACTCAGATTCTTCAGCCCATGTGTGCGAGCGCAGCCACCCTCCGACCACTGATATTCCACGTGCTATTTGTTTGCCTTAACCTGTTATTTACTCAGATTGATTTTTTTTTATTTTTTTTTCCTTTTAAATAAAATTGTGTGCTACTTGGTATCGGGCTCTGTCTCAGGTAGACAGATTGCATCTCTCCCTGCTGGATTATATCTAATTGCTGCCAAGTCTCTTCATTTCAGGCCCCAGCTCCATTTTCCCCACCCCGAGTGAGCGTTTACACTGATTTTTCAGTGTAACACTGAGAATCCTGCCCACCACTGGCACCTGGCACACGAAACTTCAAACCAGGTAATGCTGTACCTCCCTTTTGTTACTCCCCCTTTGCCAGAACATCACTTATTTTACCAGTAGATGGCAACAACACATTTTTATCACACGCAGCCTTTTTCTTAGCACCAAGTTCACGCTTTCATGACTCTTAATTATCAGTTCCAGATTCTAAAATGAAATAATTCATGTGGGACTGAGTTTTAGAAAAATGGTGCAGAACTCACGGCAATTAGGACAAATTAATTTGTAACATTTAAGTCAAATTGCCTGGTAGCTGCCTATCCCGTCGATGCTCCCTGCAGTCCCAAAACTTCCTGAGAACTGTCAGCATTTGCAGCCCACACCAATGGATTCTGAGTATCACAACCACAAATGTAAAAAAAATATGGCATGTTAGTTATTATTTTCTATTCCACCCTCTGAAAGGCTTCATTCTATCAGGCAGCTGACTCCACACATTAAGAAAATTAAGTACATTTTGAGTGTGACCCTCAGACAATTAAAAATAACCACATTCTACTCAACATTTTACTTAAAAACACCTAAGCTGTATTCCCGAAGGATTACATCTGTCACACTCGGGACAAAAGTGCCAGAACACACTAGGAGCTTTGCTCCTGCCTCAGTGTTACAGCAAAACAGCCACAGGATAATCTGCCTTTTCTCCAGCAAGTTTTGACCAAGTTTCTCCAGAGGGAACACCGTAAGGTTTTGGAGGTTCTGGGAAATCCTCTGCAATTCCAAAAAAATCCCCAAAGGTCGCTCAGCAAATCAGAACACATTCTCTGCACTGCTAGTGAGGAATTCTGCACACAAACTGCCAACTTCCATCTCCACAGTCACCACTTAATGCAAGTTTAGTACGTGAAAAATCATCTCAAGAATCTGCTTATCATACGATGAATGAAAGACAAACACTTACTGCTAAGTAATTTCACATTTTTATTTGGAATATCACAAATCATCACTAGTCTTTACATCCAAAAAAAAGTATAAAAATAAGGCTTTTTTGTTTTTTTACAGTTATTTCAGTTTAGCATTAAGTGCATTTCAGCATATTTTAAAACATTGCAGATGCCACACATAATCAGGCTGTCTAGTGACCACCACGCTCAATTCCCAGTGTATCATCACAGTATTTACAAACAATTATCAAACTAGGTATTGGCCAGACAATGAGCAGCGAGTCATTCTGTGCAGCCAAAACTCCTTTTTAATAACCAGAGACTATTATGAACTCCGACAATGCAACTGCTGGGATTGTCCCAAAAAGCCCTAGAAAGCCCTAAATAGCTCTGTGTTATTCAGACAAGCAGTTCCCAGCAGTGAAGGGCTCTGCCAACCCACCACCGACACCAAAAACCAGTTTTGATGCTGCCTCAGCTGTCTGAAGTGAGGCAATTTGGTTTTTCTGGGGAAATTGCTTCTTATGTTGACAGCAAACTCAGATTCACAACGCCAAAACCTGTCCTAATTAAGATTTGGGTTTAATAAGGAATTAGAAAGAGCAAGTATGTATTGAATGTAACAGCTATCAATGGATGGCTGAGTCTCAACTCAAACGCTGTGATGGGAGCTCCTGGAGCCACAGGCTGGACTAAAACCCATCCTGAAGCCACTGCAAGCAGCTGCCTCCAGAGCCCCCAGCCAGCACCCACTCACCCCCACTCCTGCACCCCCCAACTAACCTGCTTTGGTCTTCCCTTAACCTAAAAAGAGGAGCCAGACAGGGAAAGGCTTCCATTTCTCAGCAGAGATCTGACAGCAAATCTAGCATTACAGAGCGAGATCAAGCATCGGAGGCTGTACGCAGAGATTTGAGATGCCATATGTGAAATACATGATTTCAAGTAAAAAAAAAAAAAAAGAAGATCAATCCATACAGCGCCCTTTCTACCCTGAAAAGCAACAAAATTATCCCCAAAAACTAACATCAAGGCTCAAGAAAAATCAAGCCTCCTAAGGAACTTACACTGCGCTCCTGATAGGAGATGGCTACACTGATTTCTCTGCAGCTCCTTTAATTAGTGCCTTCTGTCAATAGGCCAACAAATTTAAAGGCAGGGGATATCTTTGCCATAGGAACCGTTAATTTTCCATTCCAACAAATTCACTGTAGTCTCTCTCTGATTGTATCAAAGAGCCAGAAATATATATGGCTTTTTTCCTTCATAAAGGCAATGGGAAAGCTCTACCGCTCTCATTTAAAGGCACATTTTAATTAATTAAATATACAGAAACCAACTTTGGACATAGCCTTACAAGGCACCGATCTCATAAGGAAAATAATAATAAAACATTTCAGAATACAAGAGACAACATAATCGTCTGTATCACCTCAACCACACCAACGAACACGAAACACATTTGGATTTTAGTGAGCAGAGCTAACACTGGACAAAAGTCTTCTGTAAGAAAAGAGGTAGCACTGAAGGCAGCAGCAGCTGGCCCTGTGACAGTGACACGTCCAGGACTCCCGCCGACACAGCTGCTCCTGTGTGCTACCAGCCTCAAAGTCCATTTCCATACACAGAAAAACAGTCAAACAAGCAGTGCATATAAGATCTAAACTGTGATAAAAAAAGGACATAGCCTTACAAGGCACCGATCTCATAAGGAAAATAATAATAAAACATTTCAGAATACAAGAGACAACATAATCGTCTGTATCACCTCAACCACACCAACGAACACGAAACACATTTGGATTTTAGTGAGCAGAGCTAACACTGGACACAAGTCTTCTGTAAGAAAAGAGGTAGCACTGAAGGCAGCAGCAGCTGGCCCTGTGACAGTGACACGTCCAGGACTCCCGCCGACACAGCTGCTCCTGTGTGCTACCGGCCTCAAACTCCATTTCCATACACAGAAAAACAGTATGAGTGGCCCAGAAGGAAAAGCACATAAATACATATTCTTTTTGTCTTAGGAATGAGCTCCCACTCCAGTTAATCAGTAGCATGAGACATAGGACAAGATATTTATCTACAGAAACTCAAGGCAAGTGCAAGAATTTTCCATTTCTGATTGGCAGATTCAACTGCAAACTCCCTCCCACCCCCCAAAAAAGGTCATTCATGCTTTACAGGTCTTATATTCGGCAGTATATGGAGTGCTGTCACGTTTCCTACAAACAAAAAAACAGGTCAAATCAGAGATTTTACATTTAAATGGTTTTAACATTTATTCTGAAAGCACATCCTTAGTTTCATCATTAAATCAACAGGTAAAGTCATGAAACTAATCATTATTTGTCTTCATCTTACTAAGCAAGCCCTAGACTGAGGAGGTTTTTGCTTCATTTCATCCACCAGACCGCTAAGAACGACCCAGGGAATGCAACAGTGTCTGATCCAAATGGATCATTTCAAGTAACCAACAGACCGTGCCCGAGTATTATCAAAAACTGAAACCAGACAGAACAGTTACAGGATTCCTAAATGATTTGGAGACTACATCAGGACCATGCCCTATAATTTATTTTAAATACAGTATGTTGTTCAGTACATTTTTGTAACCAGAAGCTGAATATTAGTTTGTGAGAATTTGGATTTTGTAGTCCGCTAACAGCAAATGTACAGTACTTAAACATACTAGAATTAAAATTCATAATTACTTCCATAAGTTTGTGAGAACTTGGATTTTGTAGTCCGCTAACAGCAATTGTACAGTACTAGAATTAAAATTCATAATTACTTCCATATATATGTATTTTGAAGTTCTTGAATAACTCCTGTTTTGCTTTACAGGACCGCCCCCCCCCCCAAACCTCTGCACTATTACTCTGGGTCTCTAAGGAGTTCTAGACACCGTAAGAAAAGCTCAGGGGTTATTAGTGCATCCACACACCAGAGCAGTCATTTCTCTTATCACTGTCACGTGCAAAAGGTTAAGATTAAGGACATAAGAACTCTTGATTCCTTTTTTTCCACTCTCCAAAAATAAGCCCAGCTAATGCAGACAACTAATCCTATCTCCATTAGAAACATCTTACTTCAGAGGTAAAGACAATATTCCTTAAGCCATACATTATTTTGGAAGAAATGCCAAGCTTAACTTTCCTCTATGCCATCTCAGATTTATCAAAAATACTGAAAAATCATCTGTTCTTTAGAACTAAGTAAAATCAGGACTGTACATTTGAAAAGACCTTTACATCCAGTTCAACCAGTAACTTCTCAGAACTCGTGCAATTGAGAAAAGTGGCAGAAATTAAATACTAGTTTAGGGACGAATTTGTAGTGCAAAGGGTAACTGTTAAGGTAGTAATGACAAAATACTGACAGGGAACAGTCAAACTAAGCTGTTCTGTCTTAAATCTGTCCTGTTGTGAAGAGCCAGGTTTTTGAAGGAGCTAACTTGACCCCACCCAAGAGCAGGAGTAATTATAACTATCACCAAATGCAGCTGACTACTCCACTAAGCACTAATTCAAAATATAGGAGAGGAAATCAGTTGCAAACAAGCAACTGGATTTTGACCCTTTTTAGGGTTACAGAACTCTGAATTTGAAAAAAAGAAATAATCTTTTTATAAGAAAGATTTAAAGAGAAGACCTTGTTTGCACCTTATTTATTTTATTTTTCTTCAAGAAAGCTGAAAAGGCAGATGAAATCAGTAACTGAGAGGTAATCTGGTTTTCTCTGAAAGCACCCACACTGCCTTTAGAATTCTAGTGTCCGTGCAATGCAGCAAAGCTGGGCTCCAGCTCCAGCAGTCTTGTCGTTATAGGGAATTATACTATTAACTAACAAAACTAACACAGCACTGCAATCCATTTCACATCACTGAGAGAGGTGCAAACACCCTACTCAGTACGTATATAGTCTCTTAGAGAAAAATATGCTACTCATTTTTTTAAAGACAACCCCAAACTAGGCTATGTGACACATAACCACCGGGAGCTATCACTTCTGACACTAGCTGGATTCCACACTCCTGAAATTCTGAGTAAACCATCATAAAAACAACCACCGGGAGCTATCGTTTCTGACACTAGCTGGATTCCACGTTCCTGAAATTCTGAGTAAACCATCATAAAAAAAGACACTTAAGCTTTATTGCATAAATCCAAATTAAGTGGAAAGGGTATACCTTTTTAAGATTCAATTAATACTTTTGTGGAGTCTTCCATCTCAGCTGGTACATTAGCTTTTAAAATACATGTTTCCTTGCAACTCTCATCAACTGTATACGAGCTGAACAGCAGAAGGGGAAAAAGGTCTAATTGAATGTCTATTTAACTGGCAGATTAAACACGTAAGAAAGAGAGGGCAGGGAGAGATTCTTAATGGAATTTGAAGACAACACAGCAAGTATGAGGTGCTGGAAGCACAACAGTTGACAAAGGCTCAGCTACATCAGGAATCCAGAAAACAAAACAGGGAGATTGAGGCCTCAATAAAAGATTAGATTGGGCGTTTCAGATATGAAAGAGGTTTAACTGCGAGACGTTCACAGCGATGAAGCTTAAGGAAAGCACTGGGTGCAGTAAGACTTTCAATGTTGTAAGATTTTCAGGAATATAAAAGTCTTTAATTTTTAATGTTGCTTTAGATCACACCTACTTTCTACACCCAGAGAAGTCCCTCCACAGATGAAGGCAGAAAGTGCTGCCCCAATCCTATTAACTCCCATATACTCGTATTTGGCCCATCCAGACTGCAGTATCCAAAAGTCATGGATGAAAAACAATTGCTCAAAAGCACTAAATAGGAATTTAGTAGCATACAGGTGCCCTGCCACTCTGCTCACAGGGCCACTCTGCCCCTTGTAATGACACCACACGGCCTGTGTGGAAGACACTGTAGCTAAAACCTTGCTGGATAGAAGCCAGCTCCAGTGTTCTCCCAACTAGTACTGCCCGTACTTATTCCAAATATGAACCACAGGAATATTTCCCCTGGTTTATTTTATTTAAAGCATCCTTTTCTTTGCTTCATGTGCCCCAGATAAATTCCAACAGATTTTGCTGAATGGTAAATCAGCTTTGATGAGATGCTTATCGTAACACTCTCGTTCTATACGTACCACCTAGCTCCTTCTGGATTTTCAGCCTTTTGGGTCTTACAAACTATTTCTCCAACAAAACAGGCTTTTTTCAAGAAGTTAAAATAAGACATGACTGCAAGAAGCGATGCTCAAAGAGGCATTTAAATCTCCTGCCACCCCTCTATAAAAAAAGCATACCTAACAATCAGCTGGTTTGAAGATAAAAGTTCAAAAGGCCCGGTATGTTTCTTAGAAAGAGAAGAACACACTACTAATATTCTACAGTTGACTTTGCAAGTCTTTAACATGGGAACACCCAACATTGCTGCTGCAGGAGAAAAAAAGCTGAAGTGGATCCACACATGAAACATTACTGTAGCAAAGCTGACTATTTCCTTTTTTCAAACAGCACAGGAGCACTGCTTTAGGCCAGTATTTTTTTTCGCCTTTTCCTTATAACTAAGCCAATGTGATTTTATTCAAGGTGCTTCTGGTTCAAACCACAAATCACAGTGGTTCTCCAGTTGCCCTCCACTACCACTGGTACATCCAGGTAGAAGACAGGAAGCTCCAAGGCTCCCAGTTCATGTAAAGCCTCCCCAGGCTCATAAGGCCTGGCAGACCCCGTGATGCCAGAGGGCACCCCAGCAAGAAAATAACACAAGCCCCCACACAAGCCACTACCACCACTGGTTTTAAGAGGTAAACTGACGTGGTTTAGAGCAGATGTGAACAGTACTTTCCTCGACAAGTGCACCTATGCTAAATACAAGCTTAAGAACAGGGGTTTCCCTTCCTTGAAATTAGTGCAAGTGTTAATTAGCAGCTTGTCTGAATAGCAGATACAAAACCAAAGTCAAACACATTGTTAGGCGCTTTAGCTTCACATCAGCTGCTCTGCTGAGCTCATATATAACCATCAGGCATTTGAAAAGGAAAGGGCAGACAAAGCTCAAGAAACTTACAAGCACATTAGCGCTGCTTTTGCTCAGTCGTTTAGAAATTTGCAACAATAACAACAATAAAAAAGTAGGCTTACTCACCCATTTTGTGAAAAGAATTTCTTATAGATCCAGAAGGCTGCCAGTAACACCACAATTGCCACAATCACTTTAGGAAGGAAAAAAAAAAAGCCTTAGAATGATAAAGATCATCTCTAACTCAATAAAAAAGCCTCAGAGACTTTTAGCAGAACTAGCACTGTTCTCATCCACAGCCCTATAGACCCCACCCCCAAAAATACTTAAATTTTAAAATAACCAAAACTCCAGCATCATGTTATGTTACTGCAGTCACGGGTGCTGGCCAGAATATCAATTCCACATAACATATACAATCCACACTGTATCTTGTTCACGTTTTATAAGATACTTACCACAGATGCAGGCCGTAATATAACCACCTAAAAAGAGAGTGAATCGGTATCATAAGAGGAACACAAGTGCTTCTTGTTCAAACATTATTATAAAAATATTCACAGAGTTACTTCAAACAGATCAAGCACTTCTGCCAACACAACCCTTGCAGCAGGCAAGTTTAGATTGTAATATTTATTTAACTTAAAATATTCCTATTTTTAAATGGATTTTAGCAAACCTGATTTTTCTTATGTCAAAATAAAGAAGGAAGTGTATATAATATGATTTCCCTGAATACAGAAGAATGTCCCCAAGAAGCATGGCACCTGTTATGTGTATTTTCATTCTAGTGGAAATTCTTGCAGTTCATACTTACTTAACTGGCAAGTTGGCACTTCAGGATTCCATCTGTTTTCTCCAACATACTCAATACGAGCTTCACCATGTAACGTGTAGCCTGTGTAACACTCAATCTTAATAAAATCCCCCACAGAATAGGAAGGTTTCTGTCCTTCAATTACTCTACCATGATTTATGCTTGGTGTGGAATCAGAAGCTTTAATCTCACCTGGAAAGAGATTGGGGTTGGGGGGGGAGGAAAGGAAATAAAGTCCAAGAACAGAGCTGGCACACAAAGCAGATTCAAGAAGTTGCAATCAAAAAGCCCCTACATTTGTGTAAATATCAGAAGCTTGCTCAATCTTCAAGACATTTTATATGCAAAGGTATCCTGCTTCCTGGAGGCTGCAGATACTTCTGCTGATGGACACGCTTCATTAATAGAGAGACACGTCTGGGCTTCATTAGGACAAACAGTTGTGTCAAAGTCATGACAATCTGTTTCCATTGTAACAAGTGATTACACAGCGCAAAGGGAGGGGAGAACAAAGCCCGACACCATCAAAGGAAAAATCTTTACAAAACACCCCCCAAACAGATCTTTCCCACTGGCTTTTCAACTTTAACAATGTCCATAAGCCAAAAAAAAAGACTGAACAAGATTCCAACTCTGCTGAAAACTGTCCTCAGTTGCTAGAACTGCCCCCTCTACCCCCCCCCCTCCC